CGTGCTGTCATGTTGGCCACGACCTGCCGGGTGATGTCGGTGGAGGAGTAGCCCCAGCGGCAGAGGTGGAAGCCAAGGCCCCAGTATGGGGGCATGAAGGGGAACCCTGGAAGCCAGAGGGCAGGAGCTGGCAGGGATTGCTCAGCATTACACTGCCCCACAGCCCCGCCCTGCCACACCAGCTCTGCCATGCTGTGAGCAGCTTCGCAGCAGAGCCATCCCACGAGCTCTTGAGCCTGTGGCTCAGCCATACCCACGACATCCAGGTACTGCCGCACCACACTCTTGGGGTCAGGGCCCAGGAAGATGTAGAAGTCCAGGATCCCACCCGTCGTGCGCCAGGTCAGGGCCGGGCTGGGCTGCAGGAGCACGTCTGGGGAGGCACAAGTGCTGGAGGAAGAAGCTGAGGATGGTGACAGGGCCAAGCCCGCGCCCAGCGCCTCCACGGGACTCACCCATCGCATTGCTGTTCAGCAGAAAGACACCGTGGGCTGAACCGTCATCCTCCATCACCAGGTAAAAAGGGTGGGAGCCGTAGAGGTTGACCTGGGGCTGGAGCAGAGCATGGTGTGGTGCCAGCGAGGCTCTGCCAGAGATTCCAGTGCCCACCCACCTGTCCCTCACATCCAGCCAAGAGCACCATCATGGCTTGGAGTGCAAACCCAGGGCTTGTGGCACCAAACAGAGACAGCCCTGAGGCAGAGCTTGGGACTGCTGGGAGCCTCAGGGGGAAACAGCTCCTGAGCCATGCAGAGCCCTGGGGATGCAAGGTCTGGCCATGGAATAAGGGTACCATGGGCTTGCCCAGGGCTGAGTCAGCTCCCAGTGATGAACCAGCACAGACACTTTTTCCCAGCTCTGGCCAAGACGTGGGGCAAGCAGAGATGACATCTCCCTTTCCCTCAGCCCCGTTTACCGTGGGTGCCATGTCCCGATTCCAGAGGGTGACCCTGGTCCATGCTGTGTCAAGGACCAGTGATGTCAGGTGCTCCCCCAGCCCAGAGATGAAATGGGAGGGCAGAGACGTGGAGATCTGCAGGAACTGGTCTGCAAAGAAGAGGGGTGCGACGGTGGTGTTCAGCCTGCAAAGAGAAGGGACACTCTGGCAAACAGGCAGCAGGGAGGAGGGAGGCACTGAGCCGCAGAGGGACGTAGATGCTCATCCCCATGTGAAGCATGAACAGGTTTTGGCTGAGCTCTGGTATTCCTGGTTCCTTTCTCAGCCACCAGACTGCATAAAAGGTGCACTGCCATCACCAGCATCCCCTGCCCCATCCCTGCTCCCAGCCCGGGCACTGCGGCACGGCACCGTGTCCCACCCCCAGACCGAGCCCCGGGGGAGGCGAG